CCTGTCGGCCATGTTGTTTATCCGATCAGTCTCAAAAGTTGCCCTGCACAGCTAAGGACCAAGGGGAACCTACATATAAAATTTGAGAAAGATCCCTCTGATACTTCCCGAGAAATAGCGATAACAAACTTTCAATTTCAAAATCAAGGATGGCTGCCTGTCGGCCATGTTGTTTATCCGATCAGTCTCAAAAGTTGCCCTGCACAGCTAAGGACCAAGGGGAACCTGCATTTAAAATTTGAGAAAGATCCCTCTGGTACTTCTTGAGAAATACTGATAACAAGAATTGTTTACGGACGGACGGACGACGGACAACGGACGGACCACGGACGCAGGGTGATTTGTATAGCCCACCATCAGATGAAGGTGGGCTAAAAAATCTTACTGCTTTTCAAAATTTTATCCTCTGATCAAGTTTTTCTCATTCAATTTTATAGGAAACAGGAAAATATTGATACATATATTTTGGTCCGTCTGACATATAATAATAAAATACATGGTTTTTTTCTTATTCAAACAATGTATATTGACCAAACGTGTTAAATTGTTCCTGATTGGTGTAATAATAAAAACAGATGAAGGCTACTACGATCCCTTAGGAAGTTAGATCTTTATGATTGTGTGTTGTAACCATTTCCACTGTGTGTTGATGATAAGTGAGGTAAATGTCTTGGTTCTTACCTTAACACCGGTTATTAACCCATTAAGTAAGAGGGTGTGATTTGGGAAAGTCTCGTTCAGGACCTTAAAAAAAAAGCAAATCATTATCTATCCAATCATTCTTAAACAATCAAAGACTTTACTTACTATTTATCTGTAGTACACATATGTATCACACAAAATATCAAATAGCTTATTACCTGACACGCATTTATTGGCAGATATATAAGGTATCATATACAGTCAAAACTGGTCACTTTGGTCACTTTAGTCTCCGGAAAAAAATGTTTGTGTAAACAACATTTCATGTCAATGAAACATGGGTTTTGCAGATTGTGATATTTATATATTTCTTTAATATATTAAATTCAATATGACCACACGGTCTTCGAGTCCTTGGGTGGTAAGTGGATAACACACTCGCCTTGCACCAAGGTGGCTGGGGTTTTTTGGGATGTGAAATGGTATGGGTTCACCTCCCCCACTACATGGGTACATTTTCTTAGGGTACTCCAGTTTCCTCCCACATTACGACCCCCCGCTTGCTAACATCCGGACCAACAAGATCAGAGTGACTAATAAGGCCAAAAAAAATAGAGTCTATTTATATTTAGGGTTGCATGGGCAAAAAAACTAGGGTAGGTAGGTCGGATTTTTTTTTTTTTAAATGTATATTTTTGGTCATGTGATTATGACCCTACTATTGTATGTAAAACAAAGAATTACATAAACAAGGTTCGTTTGGAGGCAAATTGTGCTCCATATGATGACATTAAACGCCAACACAGAGCTGGGAGCCATTTTGAAAGGCAAGGAACCTTCAAAAATTCGAAAATCAGCGGGGGGTGGGGGGGGTGGGGGGGTCATCAAAAAGTTTTGGGTCGGGGGTAAAAAGCTAGGGTCGGTCGGGAACCCTAAACACAGACACCTTTTTTTTTTGGCCTAAGTTGAAATAACTTGTTTGATAATTGTTGTGACAAAATGGAAGTTTATATTTTATATTTCACATGTACATTAAATATATAAGTCCTTAGGTGGCTGTGAAAAGTATTTGACTTATATCATTGCGGTTGAGTTCAAACATCTAGACAAAATTTCTTAAGAGGACATTGCCTTTTTCACAAATTTAAAGATAATAATATTCATAAATTCATTCCTGATAAAATTTTCCCTCATTAACAAGTACAATGATAAATACATTGGTAATGAAACTCTACACACAGCATGTATGAGGATCCATATATAAGTTTTAGGGATTGGCAAAGCCTGGAATAACCCGATTTAACTGCAAGCAGAGAATTAGTTTGTTTGTTTTAACTTGCATCCAATCATGACTGTCAAAACACATACCATAATCATGGGTGATGTCAGCAGACCCCATGCGAAGAATTCTAAAAATATCACAATAAGGGCATGGTACACGCTGGGCTGGCTCATCCATCCCGAGGACTGAAACACACAAGCAATAAACATATCTACCTCTGCATTGTATCAGGTATACAATATATCATATACAGGTATATATACAAGAACTACAACTCAGTTATCAGAATTTCACCCATCTTGTAAAACATAGACTGATAGAGGAAAATTATTATGATGTCAAAGTTGTGAGAAACAATTGATAATAGCGTTACTTGTGACCATGCTGAACATGCAACAAATGGCTGCGATACTGAAATGTTAATACATTCTTTGCCTTTGTTGACACGGTCAATGACAGACAGCTACCTATTTTGATTGGTACCCCAGAACACATTTTCAGACCCTAATAAAAAAATAAACATATATATATAAATTTTATGGTAGAAATGCATTTAATCTAGGAAATTTTTTCTAAATGCATCCGACCTCACTATTATGGTTCAATGGAAATGAGCATTTTGTGTTTGGAAGAAACATTCATGGTGGACATGTCAGCATTAACATTTATCAGCAATCTCCCACACCACTTCTCAAATCAGTGAAACCATGTAGGATTATCGAATCGGACAGTGATAGACAGTCTCCGTGCAGCTGTTGACACTTCAATTTTTCCGTGTAGTGTATGTGACGGACTGGCATGTCGTGCTGTGATGTAGCATGAACCGTGCGTACTCGGAAAAAAATTTCATAAATCTCATTTGACATAGAAACTCATGCAGGATCCTATATATAAGAAATGAACCCCATTCCTTAATATACTTTATTTATCTATTTCACAGCAGGCTATGTCAATTTGCCTGACACCAATTACTGTGAAGTACTGACTTAGACTAGCTGCGACAATGTAGCTTTTGACGACGAGACATTTTTTTTTATATATTGCATCTTCAGAACAGAGGAGGGCGGGTATTTATATTAGTATAAGGTACTGACATGTCATTACTAGTTACTTGGTCGTTTTAGCACTAGTATAAGACGTTTTGGTACTTCCTTCCCAAAGGTCATTTCGATATTTTAAAGTTTTTCGGCATTTGGACTAACGTTTCTACTCTGTGCTTTGATTGCTTTTGTGTCCTGTGGGTTATTGAACTTATATTTTAAACTCAGCCTTATGTCCTATACAAAGAAGTACCGAAACTACCGGATACAGCATATGCGATTACTCCACTGATCAGTTTCAGAATCAGATTATTTTTTCGGTTTTCCGAAAACAACTGGGAATCATATAATGTGTATCTAAACTAGCCACACATCTAAAACAAATATGACACTTATTGACACTGACATAGATAAGGGATTAGGGGACGATACTGACCACACTTGATTGACAACACAAACTTTGTAACATATCGACTACAAATCTGTGAAATTTCAATGGTTGATCGATTTACCGTTCCGTTTTCTTTTATATGTCCTTTCCTTGGTCCCCATATTATCTTTCCGACGATCCGTTTCTTTCTTTTCCCCGGCATAGCCGTTAAACTGGTCAGACGATTTGTATAAACCTCAACATTTCTCGGGTTGTAAAGGGAAAATTACCTTGACCTTTGTTGCCAATAATAGCTCCGCAGTTAAGAGTCGAACGCCTATTTCCGGTATTTACGAACTGTCCAAAAATAGATTTTAGACGATAAAAAAAATGCCTATCGTCCATTTCTTGTTTTTAGAAATCTTTGAAGTCATGTTTAGTTGAAATTGAGATTCAGACCAAAAATTTGTATTCCGATGACACAGGGGCTTGAGAATTGTGATTGCTGTGGTCTTACCTGTTAGTATTAGTACATTATTGCCATATCACCTCCGATCTCGAACATTGTGACCAACAAAAAACTACCATTTATTTTTAGACATACACACGTAGCCAGGTGGCATGGTAACCGTGCTGCCAGGGCTATACCCCCNGCGTACCAATTTCATTATATATAACCAATAGTATCAGACTTGTTTCTAGTGCTGTGTATGGAAACCTTGCTGGCATAAACTAGACATAACTGACCAACTATTAGGAATAAGGAGTGATTTTTAAAACAAATCATGAGTAGACCCCCGAAGAGACACCGATCATCCGGTGATGATATGTGCTCAAAATGTGACAAAACCCTAGATCGCGGAAGCTTATATATAACTTGCGATGGGTGTAGCCTAAACTACTGTGCCCCGTACGCGTGTGCTAAACTGAAACGGGGACTTGTTAACCTTTTGACAGAAGGTGAATTGGACGGTTTTAGATGGAACTGTGTGGCCTGTACTAAACACTACCTACACTGACTAATATCAGCAAAACACTAAAAGAGGTCAAGGAGACAAATGACAACAGATTAACTCATCTGGAATCTAAAGTCTTAAATCTTGAGATTGACCATGGAAGCAAAATATCTGCACTTACAGAATCTATGGGAACCATGAAAGACTCGATAACAGAGGAAGTCAAGGCTGATCTAACCAAGGTTATAGATGAGAGGGTAAAAGAAATGAACGACAGACAAAGGAGAAACACAAATATCATTCTTTTCAATATCCCCGAGAAAACCCTTGGAGATGGTAAAGAGAAAAAACTAAATGATATGCGAGACGTAACAGAAGTAGCTACTAAACTCGGCATATCTGATTTACAACTCACTACCTGTTTTCGTCTTGGAAAATAAGATGAAAAGAAAACAAGGCCAATAAAATC